GTAGATGCGATCAGGCTCACGCCAAAGCGGAGTCACACCTGCGCTCCAAAGCTGCAGGTGTGAGACACCAGAACCAGACATGTTCAAAACTACGCAAAATATCTGAAACTCGTCTGAAACACACCCGAGGCCCCCTAGACCCCGATTAAACACACAAACAAGTTCTATAACTTAACACGGACTCGCTCGAGGTCTCAAATCACATCAAACAATGCAGAATGCAAATCGTGCCATGAATCGAACTTATGAACTTTCAAATCTTCCAACTCATAAAACTCACGCCGAAACCTATCTAATCAACCCGGAACGACGCCAAATTTTGCAGACAAGTCCCAAATGACAAGATGGAGTTATTCCAACTCTCAGAATCGCATTTCAACCCCTATATCACAAAAGTCAACTATGGGTTAAGCTTCTCCATTTTCCAAACTTCAACTTTTCCAATTTTTGCCGAAATGCTCCGAATTACCCTACGGACCCCCAAATCTGAATCCGGACGCGCATCTGAGTCCAAAATTACCATACGAAGTTGTTGACATTATCCAAAACTCATTTCGGAGCCGTTTACACAAAGGTCAAATTCCGGTCAAATTCTCACCTCTTAAGCTTCCAAAACTAGATTCCTTCTTCCAATTCGACTCTAAATCATCCGGTAACTGAATTCAACCCCGCACGCAAGTCGATACATATGATATGAAGCTGCTCAAGACCTTATGCCACTGAACGGAACTTAAATTCTCAAAACAACCGGCCGGGTCGTTACATATCATTAGTTAAACTTTAGGTTCATTTTTACCTTTGTTCATAACAAATTTTTTATTTGCCTTTACTATTAATAGAGTTTCAATGAACTTGTGTGTCTAAATTCTTCAAGAAAAAATATTCATATTTATCCTTCAACTTTTGACAATGATTTAAAATTCTCTAAGGTTGAAGCATCATTAGAGGTCAAGAATAAAAATGAAATTCATTCTCTAAACATTAGGAATAAGATTAGATAAAAAAAAATAAAACAAAAGTAAAGTTGCTCTATTTCGAATAATATTGGAGCAAACTGACTGTTATCTATGGTAATTAATTTAAGGCAGAATAGCCTAAATGACACCAATACTTGTGCCACTTTGTCATCCCGGTCCTTGTATTTCATAAAGTTTTATCCAGACACCTGAACTCAGTTAAAATATGTATTTTAAACCCCTCTAACCTTTGACTGAGCTTATGTGTCATTCATTTGGCTGAGTTAGAAAAATGCGTGGTTACACGCTCTAAAAAGGAGAGTGGATATACTTATTTTGATTTAAAAATATTAAAAATAATAAAGAATAACCATAAAAAAAAGAGTAAATTAATTTCCCAATCCAAGTACCTCTACCCGTTTCCCAACCCTTCGGACTTATTTCACCCCATTTCTCCCCGTCTTCTTCTCCCCCTATTTCCTATTGTAACCCCGTTTTCCCTGGACTTATGAATATCTTGAAATTTTGGGGGATTGTTCCATGGTTAAAAACAATAAAAATTTATGTCTCCTTCTCCCCTTTCAGCAACCAAAATTCTAAATCTTTTTCAACTTTCTGTAACCAATACATAAAAAAATACAATCTTTATAGATAATTTTGAACATAAATTTGGAAAAAATAATTGAATCGAAGTGAAAATTTTGGAGAAGAAGACTTAAAGTTTTGTGCGGATGGTTTGTATGAGATGAAATCTGAAGTGGAAGTTTCTCTCCTCTGCCCCTTTGATTGGTGACCACAAGTGATTCCCAACAAATGTTTCTTGATTCAGTGAAATTTTGGTGTACAAAAATAGATGTTTTCTACTTGGGGTTTGTTTCAGTCAACGAGAAAGAGATAAAAGATGAGAGAAAGAATAGTGGGGAGGAGTTGGAGGCGATGTGTAGTTGGTGACCTTTTTCGATCTACTCCGCTGGTGGTGTAGCAGCTGTCTCAGGCGATGGAAGTTTTCTTTTGTCGTTTATGAGTCAATGGATAGAGGAGAGCAAGTAAAAGGTTACTGGTGTGGTGTTAGATTTGGCAAGGTGAGCTTTTCCGGTGAGATATTTGGCGAGAAATTTTGGGGTGGAGACATCAACGAGAAAGAAGGGAACGATGTGCAAATATTTCTATTTTTTTCTTTTTTTTCATTCTTATTTTGGTCTCCTATTCAATCTAAAAGGCGCACTTTTCTGAACTTTATATTCCAAAAAGAAGGGTTTTTTTTTCTTGATTTTTCCAATTACTTTTTCCCTTAGGTGTATTAAGTCGATGATGTGGCATTGATTTATCTGATGTGGACATGATATTTTCTCCACGTCAGGCGAGTGACCAACATGTAACGCCGAAGGGGTTTAAAATATATGTTTTGACTGAGTTGAGGTGTCTGGATGAAACTTCATTGAATACAGGGACCAGGATGACAAAGCGGCACAAGTATAGGTGCCATTTAGGCTATTCTTCCTTAATTTAATTCCGCATAAAACTCTTCCACTCTCTAATATTCATTGGACACTTCCACCCAAAAGAATTTAAATTACATAAAAAGAATAATAGATCTAAAAAACGACAAAACAAAGAAAACATGAGGCAGTTGACAAAAAAGAAAAAAGAAAACAAAACAAAAAAGGTAAACATGGAGCAGAGCTGCCCCGGACCCGACCATGCTGCTGAAATATCTTTTCTGTAATGTTTCTGATCTAACGATATCTTTCTTTGATCAGAAGTTAAATTTTAGCTCCCAATCTCCCTATGGCTGCAGTCACAGTGGCCGTATAATGGCAGGTCCTCCACAATTGCTACTACCGAAAACCAGAACTTTACCAGATGCAATGGAAGCACGTGGACCTCAAGCGCAACAAAGTCGTTTGTGTTCCTTTCGGTGGTCCAATCGTGTCATCCATGACGACGCTAAAATCGCCCAACTCTACATCGAATCCGCACTTCGGAAGCTCCGTATCTTTAATTCTGACGGCGTTTAGATTTTCAAAACTATCTGGAAGAATCCCGACGACTGACTCATCGGAATGTCATGGACCGACGATCAAACCCTAGTTTGCATCACTCGGACGACACTATTTACCATTACAACATCCACGCCTAGTCAATTGAACCAAATTCTCAGCTCATATTAGGCGCCGACTATTTTACTCATAGCATGGTTGAATGCATATTCTAGGGAAATAGTGTTGTTTGTATCAATGAGGCATTTCAGGTTTACTGCATACCCAATTTCAATAACCCGAAACCAATCAAATTGGCAGATACTGGTTTGGAAGATTTTCTATTATGTACGGCTGTGATCGAGCCGCAATATACTATGTCTGGGAATGTTGAGGTACTGATGGGTGTTGCTGATCACGTGTTGCTGATGGAAGAGGATGGTGTTCAGCAAGTTGGGCTTGGAATTGGGCCTCTACAGAAAATAGTGGTTTCTCGGAATGGGAAGCTTTTGGCAGCTTTTACACATGATGACAGGCTTCTTATTATGTCTATTGGCTTCTCCAGCACTATTTTCGACTATACTTTTGAGAAGGTTATTTCATTCCCAATGCTCTAACTTGTCGTTTCTGCATTCTTTTAAGTAAATTCTACTTGCTCTGTATTATGTTAAGTGGCTAACTAGAATGATTTTTCGTGATGTCTTACCACGTTATTGTTAGATAGAATAATTCAAGTAAGTTACCATGCACATATAACTTATTTGAGCATCGATTGGATCTGATTTGTTGCTTTTTCACATGTAAAAAATGATTTCTGGCTATTTTAGTTGGATTTTATATCACATGTCTGTGCCACCCTTTATTTTCATCTTTTGGAATTTTTAGTTCATCTGGATCGATGAATATTTGTTTACCAACTTATCCAAAAAAAGCAGTGAATCTTTGCTTACCATGCTACTACTTTTATATTTCTAGTCAACCGTACCCCCTGAGCAACTAGCATGACATGGATTGGACAGTGTACTACTCTACTGGGATGATAAGCTTCTAATGGTGGGTCCTAGAGATCCTATCAGCTATTTTTATGATGAACTAGTTCTCCTTATTTCTGAATGTGATGGGGATAGAATACTCTCCAACATGAGCATGGAATTTCTTCATCGTGTTCCAGATTCAACTGTCTCCATATTTCAAATTGGTAGCACACTACCAGCTGCTTTATTTTATGATACCTTAGATCATTTTGACAGGCGGAGTGCCAAGGTAGGCTATATCTTTTGGTATTTACTCTATGAAATGACGAAGACCTAACTGCCTATTTCAGTCTCGAAATATTTTCATAAAATGAGCATCATTAGACTTGTCCATTTGTGCACATATTTACCGCTTCTAACAAATATGTATCTACTTCTGCATCCAGACTTGTTTTCATACCTGCATATGTACCCTGGGATGCATACCCTTAGGACATTGTAATTGATAACCCTGTTTGACGAGGATAGCAGAAAAAATGAAAAATACTTTACTGTTGCCTTTTGGATAAAGTCAATTCTCTCTGCAAGCATATCAATTCCTACTATAAATACTCTGCCATGCTACATCATTTCTCACATTCTATACTACAATTACCTCCTTCTATATTCCTAACCCAATATCATACAATGACATAAAATAGGTTTTTGAGTAACATTTTCAATTGACATATTTTTCATAGAAAACATTATGTTTAACCAAAAAGTGAAATTTTGGTCAAAGCTTTAATTTAGGAGAACACGGGTTACTGATAATCGAAACTGGATAAAGGAAAGTAATTTTTGCTAACAAAAAGATAGATAGAAGAAAACAAAGTAAACCAGTATATTCAGATGATCTTTCGTGTCCTTACAAATGATCCATTCTCTCCTTTTTATAGCTATCTCAAAGATATACGTTTTTCCTTTGTCATAATAAGGCCATTATAGACAATTAAAGGTATTAAATGATATGTTACATAATCATTGTAATTTAATACAGATTCTCTAACGTTTTTAGTATTTAATACTTATTAAATACTGTATTTGTACTCTCTTGTGCTGTCAGATTCATTCTCCTTGATTTTTGGGTATAAATAGGTACGAGCGTTGAGTCTTTTGAATAACTTCTCGTGCCTCTACTTGTACCTTTGCTCGTATATATTGCAACTCGTGCCTCTTTGTTAATCATCATTCTTTGACCAACCTTCGTGTCATGACACATCATCTTTCAATCACTTAAATATGTAAACTCAATTTTTCCCAATACAGATAGTCCCCTCACTTGCCATTTATTCATCAATTGAATATTTGGGAAGTAGATTTTATTAAAGCGGGAATTTTTGCCGCCATTAATACTATTGTAGAATCGACGCTTCAATTGTCACTTCCATTTAATGCTTATTACACGTGACATATTTTTATTGGTTCTATGACTTTGCATTGCTTTTTAAGGCTCTTTTACAGTTTCACCAATTACGAAGCGGCAGTTCTCATTATGACTTTTCCATTATTGCACCTTTTCCTTTGACGGTTGCTTCTTAGTATAAATATAATTTTTCGCCTTTGTCCTTGTCACATAAAGTTCTCTAAATATTCAATTCTTGAATTTTTGTTTGCTTCTTCCTCGTACTATCATGTTTTCATCAAACCCTAACCCTAGAAGAGTCCTCATAGTTGATAACTTTCCTCTTGCCCTTAGCAGAAGAAGAAGAGGAGGTAGACTTTGTAATTTAGGGTCTTCATCCATACGGGATTCTTCTATTCCTTCATCTAGTTCCAGTCCTTCTTTTAGAATCAGAGGTTCTTTTTCTCAAAAGTCTTCTTCTAGAGGTAAGGAACCATCTGAACCTGTTCGTGAACCTACAGAAGAAGAAATAGTTCCTACGGAACTATCTTTCTATAATGATAAAGAGTCCCTTAGAAACCAAGTGTCCTCTGATATCTATCCAACTCAGATCACAGAAGGTTTGATTTCTTTAGTTCGTAAAGGCTGTCATTGGAGTCATGACTTCCCTATCATAATTCCTAATGCAAATCAAATAATCACCTCCTATTTAGTTGGACTTTCCTTTGTTTATATGTATCCTTTCACATTAGGATTCAAACCTCCTATTGATCCTGTTATTCTCGAATTTTGCCGTTTTTTCGATGTTTGTTTAAGTCAAATTGGCCATATAGTGTAGAGGATTGTTGCCTTTTTGAGGCATTTGACTAACATGGCATGTGTGCCTTTCACCTTTGCCCATTTAATTCACCTTTACTCTCCTAGACTCTTTCGCCAAGGTGTTTTTACTTTAGTAGCAAGGAGCAAAAGAGTTCTGGTCAGTCCAGAAGATGACAGAGACCGTGGCTGGTATACCAGGTTTGTTGCTACCCCCACTGTTGGTTTAGTGGGTGATGGAAATGTTCCCTTCCCCGAGAAGTGGAATTTTGCACGTGAGTTTTCTTTTAATAACTTTCTCGTACCATTTTCTTCAATTTTGATGATTATTATTCTAATTTTCCTTTTCTTTTCCAGCAACCATGGGAATTGTTGATGAAATTCCCAATTTCTGTGGTTGGGTAGGAAAGTTGTTAAATACAACCCCAATGGAGGGCAGATCTTGGAAGAATCTTTTCCAACGATTTGGTTGGAAAGTGAAAACTCATGGTAAGAGTTTTTTTTATTAAACTCTTTATTGTTTTTTTCATAACTTATTTTAATCCTTCTTTTTATCAGGATTTGCCGTTTGAGGGATTAGTGCTGAGGCGGTCGTAGCTTCCCATATTTTTTTGGAAAGAGCCCAAGAGATAATCTTGGGTTCTTCATTAAAAAGGAAAGTTGCTAGTGACCAAGACTCCGAAGAAGAGGAAGATGGGGGTTCCTTGGTAAAAAGGCCACGAGCTCGTAGGCGAATCATTTCTGATGATGAAGCATACCCCCTCGTTCTATTTCTCTTACTGAGTCTATTGAATCCCCGGTGACGATCCCTGATGATGAAGTTCTCGTTGCTGCTCATGATTCAGTCGAGCAACTTTTTAACCGCAGATTTGGTGGTGAAAATTTAGGTCCAATTTCTGATGAAGCACCTCTTGCTTCTTTTTCTACTCCCATTCCTATAATTCCTCCTTTGCTGGTCATGGCTGTTACCGTTCCTCCCCAGGCTATTATGACTGCTTCCACAGTTCCTCCCTCGACTACTCCTCCTTCAACTGCTCCTTACACAGAAGTTAGTTCTTAAAGTAGGAGTGGTGCTATGAGGCGAGTTACCATTGAAGTCCCTGCTGAAGGTAACCTTTTAAGGAAATCAGGTCAAGCTGACGTGTGGCTAAAGCCTTTGATTGGTCCAGTTGAGAGAGCTAAGCTTGATAGCCATAGTTCTGTGACCTTGATGAATGATATAGTGCATGCTTCTTTAAAGGTATTCCTTTTTTCAAGCTTTACTTTGTTATTTTTCTATCTTCAGGATTCTCATTTTTTCCCATCTTTTTTTAGGTCAATCTAATTGGCACGGAGATGATGAAAAGGGTTACCCTCTCAGAGCAACTAGTGCGTGACTACCAAGTGGAGGCAGATAATTGGAAGGAACAGTGTGAAAGTCTTCAGATCGATGTGGAAATATTAGAAGAAAGTAAAAGTACCTTAGAGAAGCAGGTAAGGGCTTTGACTTCAGAGTTGGCAGTTGAAAAAGCTTATTCAAATCAAGCAGGTAAGGAAAAGGATCATCTGGAAACCTCTTTTTCCGAGCAATTGTCCAAGGCAAGTGAAGAAATTAGAGAATTGAGGGCTCTCTTAGGTGAAAAAGAAGCATATGCTGATGAACTCGTGCAGAATTTGACTCAAACTCAAGAAGACCTCCGGGTATCTTCTGATAAGGTTTGTTCTTTAGAAAATTCCCACGCTTCTCTTCAAGCTTCTTATGAATCTGCCTTGGCTAAAAATGAAAAGTTAAGAAATGAAATTACTGACTGGGAAAGAGATTACGAGATCCTTGAAGATAAAACTTCCATTGAAGTGAGTTGGGGATTTTTAAATTCTCTTCATGATACCCTCATTGAAGTTAGCCAGGAGAATTTTAACTTGAAATCTGAGTTAGCCAAGATCAAATAGACTATTATAAGACTCAGCAAAACCAAGATTTTTCTTTTCCAGTGGCTGAAATTTCTAAAAATATTGAAGATGATACGGGTATCCATACTCCTTCAAGTCAAGTTGAGCCTGCTGCTGTTGATGTCCCTACTTCAGTTCCTTCATCTTCTCAGTGAAAAGTTTATGTTATTTGAATTCCTTTGTGTATTTTTTTCTTTTGGTGGTATGTGATTGTGACCCTTGGTCTTTGTAAGGGTTTGTTGAAAACGTTAAGTCCCTAGACCTTTTATGGGGCACTTTGTATAACAACTTTTTGTTTATGACTAAGTTCTTACTTAGTCTAAACTTTTTAATATTAAGAAGTTTTCGTTGCTGTTTGAACTTTTGTTTTGTTTATTCTTGCCTTTATTTTTAAGGATTTACTGAATAGCTTGCATTTTTATTCTTCAAAAATGCTTCTGTTAACTTCATGAATACTTGAATTAATCATTAATTTTATAAAAGAGGGACCTTTTATATTTGACACTTAATGAAGAAGACGTCTCAACTTCATAATGGTGTTAATGTACGACAAAAAATAGGAATACACATGTTTCTTGAAATAACTTTGACAAGTTTTTATTTGAACTTTTGTCAAGTTTTGAATAACACTTTACATGTATTTGAATTACTTCTATAACTTTCTCGCAACTATTTTCCTTATAACAGATTTCAAAAAAGAAATTGAACACAAGGTTTTTCCTTATAACCCGTTTCAGTACATTGCCTTTACCCTAACTATGATAAGGTTTGGCCTTAGCTCGTGACTTTGCGCTGCACTTAACTCATTCAATGAGTGAATTTCTCAGGCTTAAACTTTGATTATTTCCCAATCTTCTTTGCCTTTTTTATACACATGTCTATGTATATTATATAGTCCCTCAAGTGTTTGAGCTTTGAAATATGAAGTCTCGAGCACTTGATTGTTCCTCTCATTTGGTCCTTTCCTTGAAAAGGAAAAAACACACGGGACTCGGAGGTGCGATTATAGATAAAGACTGCTTAACCCGTCTGAATATCTATCAGAATAGTTGTAACTCTAGACCGGGAATTTTAATTTATTCCACGTGCCTTGCAGGTCGTGATTCATCATTTAGTACGAGCTAACTTTTTGCCTATCATCTAAAATCGTTAGTAAAATTTTAACAATTCAAAAATAAAATTTTAAAATATGGATACCTGACCGTGGGTATTCCTTAGAAATAGTATCTCTTCAGGTGAACGACATTCCAGTGTGAAGGTAGTATCTTGCCATCCATCGTTTCCAGCTCGTATGCTCCTTTTCCTGCGATACTATGAATCCTGTAGGGTCCTTCCCAGGTTGGACTCAATTTTCCCGCATTAGCCGCTTTCGTAGATTGAAAAACGTTTTTGAGCACGAAGTCCTCAATCTTGAAGTATCTTAGACACGCTTTTAGATTGTAGTATCGTTCCATGACCTGCTTTTGTGCTGCCATTCTTATTAATGCAGCTTCCTTTTTTCCTTCAAGTAGATCAAGGTTTATGCGCATTTCTTCGTCATTGGATTCTTCTGACACTTGTGTAAACCTCGTGCTTGGCTCTTCTATCTCAATTGGAATTAAGGCATCAGCTCCATAAACCAATGAGAATGGTGTTTCTCCCGTACTTGTTTTTGCTATTGTGCGGTACGCCCATAAAATACCAGGTAGCAATTCTGGCCAATTACCTTTGGATTCCTCCAAGTTGTTGACTCAACTTGTCCATTACCCACCGAATGATAAGGTGTTGATGTAATCCTTTTGATATACCAACTTTGAAAAAACTCTGTGATTTGTGCGCCTATAAATTGAGGGCCATTATCACACACGATTTCCTTTGGCACACCGAATCGATAAATCATATTTTGCCAAATGAAATCTATAACTTCTTTTTCTCGCACCTGTTTGAATGCTCCTGCTTCCACCCATTTAGTAAAATAGTCAGTAAGTACAAGCAAGAATTTTACCTGTCCTTTTGCTTGTAGTAGTGGACACATGATATCCATCCCCCATTTCATAAATGGTCATGGTGCAATGACCGGATGTAATAACTCTGCAGGTATATGCATATTATTACCGTATATTTGGCATTTATCACATTTAGCCACGAAACTTTCCGCTTCTTCTTCCATTTTAGGCCAATAATAATCTGCCCTAATCATGGTTCTTACCAATGATCTTCCTCCGGCGTGATTCCCACAATGCCCCTCGTGTATTTCTCTCATTACATATTCCATCTGAGTAGGCCCAAGGCACCTTGCTAAGGGACCACCGAACATTTTTCGATAAAGATTTCCTTGCTTTAAACAATATCAAGCAACCTTTTTTCGAAGCGCGTGAGCTTTTTTCTTGTCTTCAGGGATGGTTCCTACGACAAAAAGCAACAATCTCGTTCCTCCAATCACAGGTAAAGTTATTAAAATTTATCTCATTTTTGTCTGGATCGAGTATTGAATGAAACAAATGAATTACGGAAGCATTTTCATTGCTTGCCACGTCTGCTGCAGATGCGAGATTGGCTAGGGTGTCCACCTCGACATTTTCATCTCTTGGTATTTGCATAACTTTCCAGGTTTGGAATTCCCTGATTAGATCACGTACCTTCTCTAAGTACTGCTGCATCCATACTTCTTTGGCCGTAAAAGTCCCCAGCATTTGATTAACTACGAGCTGAGAATCGCTTTTGATCACAATCTGATTAATGCCGAGTTCTCGTGCTAGTTCTATACCTGCAATCATAGCTTCATACTCTGCCTCATTGTTAGTTATATAATGACATTTAATGGCTTGTCGAATGGTTTCACCCGTAGGTGGTACCAAAACAATTCCCAAGCCTTCACCCTTTACATAAGATGAACCATCAGTAAATAAGGTCCAAATTCTCGGATTAGATCCGTTGAACACTTGTAATTCTTTTTCTGCTTCCAATTGCATTCCTTGGCTAAAATCAGCGACAAAATCTGCTAACACTTGAGATTTTATCGCGGTTCTAGGATGGTATGTGATGTCATATTCACTTAATTCTATAGCCCATTTGGATAACCTACCTGACAACTCATGCTTGTATAATATATTGGGTAATGGATAAGCAGTTACTACAGCAATAGGGTGACATTGAAAATAAGGCCTTAATTTTCTAGATTCCATGATTAGTGCAAGTGCAAGCTTTTCCAATTGAGGATACCGCGTCTCCGCATCTAATAAAGATTTGCTGACATAATAAATCGAAGATTATTTACCTTGATCTTCACGAACTAACACAACACTTAGCGCTACTTCGGAGACAACAAGGTAGATGAGCAATCTTTCTCCAACTTTGGGTTTTGCAATCAACGACGGATTTGATAAGTATGTCTTCAAATTTTTGAGCGCCTGTTGACATTCCTCAGTCCATTCGAATTGATATTTCTTTTTAAGAGTTGAAAAGAATTTAAAGAACTTTTCTAATGATTTGGAAATGAATCTCCCCAAGGCTGCAATTCTTCCTGTCAACCTCTACACTTTCTTTTTTACTTGTAAGCATGTCAGGGATCTCTTCAATGGCCTTAATCTGTGCGGGATTCACTTCAATATCACGGTTAGAAATAAGAAAACCCAAAAACTTACCTGATGCAATACCAAATGCACATTTCTCAGGATTTAATTTCATATTAAATTTTTGCAAGATCTTAAACGTATCAGACAAGTGTGATATATGATCCCCTGAATGTTGAGTTTTAACGAGCATATTGTCTATATAGACCTCCATAGTTTTTCCCAAATATTGTTGAAATATTTTGGTCACTAGTCTTTGATATGTTGCACCCGCATTTTTGAGAACAAAAGGCATTACTTTATCACAGTAAGTCCCCCTGTTTGTTATAAATGAAATTTTTTCTTCATATCCTGCAGTAGCATCAATTAGTTGATCTATACGTGGTAATAGAAAAGAATCTTTAGGATAAGCTTTGTTAAGGTCTGTGTAATCTACATAAACTGGCCATTTAACATTATTTTTCGGTACCACAACAGTATTGGCTAACCAATTAGGATACTTTACCTTGCGGATAGACCCAATTTTTTGTAATTTTTGGACCTCATCTTGAATCACCTGATTTTTGAAAGTTCCTTGCTTTCTCTTCTTTTGTTTGACAGGCGGATATGATAGGTCTTCATTTAATTTGTGAGTCATTACCTCTGGTGGTATCCCTGTCATATCAAAATGGGACCAAGCAAAGCAATCCATGTTAGTTTTCAAAAATTCAATCAACTTACCTTTCGTGTCCTAGCTTAAATTGGCCCCTACATAGACTTTCATTTCAGGCCATTGTATGGATAATACTATAGCCTCCAGTTCTTTAGCTGTTGTTTTGATATTTTCGTTTTCCTTTGGTTCTTGAATGACATCAGGCCTTGAGTCCACATATGTTCGCCCTTGTTCAGTTGAGGTTTGCGTTGTTGTACCCTCAACTGGATTCTGTAACTGCTATTTTTCTTCATTTCTCGTACTTGAATCTGCTACAAAGTTGATGCTCTTGGATGTCTGTTGATCCCCACGAATTTGACATATTCCCCATGGTGATGGAAATTTAATTACTTGGTGTAAGGTCGACGGAACGACATCCATATCGTGGATCCATGGTCTCTCGAGAATCATATTGTAAGCTATCTCCATATCTACCACCTGAAACTTTGTATCTTTGACAACTCCTTCTGCGAATGTAGTAAGTATTACCTCCCATTTCATCAAGACGCTGGAATTGTCAAATCCAGACATAGTATGCGCCTTTGGTATTAATTTATCTTCAGCTTGCATCTTGCATAGTCTCTTTGCAGAATAATGTTCATGGAACTACCTGGATCAATCAAAACTCATTTCATATTAGTATCATGTACAAGTAGAAATATTTCCAGTGCATCGTTATGTGGAGATAATATGCTATCCACATCTGCATCATCAAACATAATACTTTCTTCCTCTAAGACATGTTGCACCCGCTTCCCGTGGGTAATTGTGACTTTAGAAACTTTATTGGCTGCTATGTACGTCACACCATTGATGTTTTCACCTCCGCTTACAACATTAATGATCCTTTTGGGAGAAGGTGGTTTAGGGGCTCCTGCATATTCTTCATGTATGCTTGCTTACCTTTTCACTGAATAATTCGGTGAGATACCCTTGTTTTAATAGGTGATCAACTTCGCCTTGTAGCAACCAACCTACAGTCTGCCGTTTTATGACTATGATCGTTGTGGAATTCGCACCA